ACCTGATTGTCTACGGCCTCCGGGTTATGTTGATGAGTGAAGCTGTTATATGAGGGCTGCAGGCACGCTGGGGGAGAGGGGAGTGAGGGTGTGGGGAGAGGGGGGAGAGAAGGTGAATCAGGAGGGGAAGGAGGAGAAAGAGGGGAAGACTGATTAGAAAGCAGAAAAGGAAGACGAAGAAGAGGAAGGATGGAGGGTTTAGGAGACGGAGGAAGGATAGGAGAGGGGGGGAGTAAGGGAGAGAGAAGGTGGATGGGAGAGTTAATGAGGATGGTAGTGTGTATATGTGTGTGTGTGTGTGTGTGTGGGTGGGTGGGTGTGTGTGTGTGTGGGTGTGGGTGGGTGTGTGTGGGTGGGTGGGTGTATGTGGGTGTTTATGTGCTTGCTTGTTTACATGTGTTTGTGCTTCCATGAGTGCGTATGAGTGTTTGCTTGTGCACCTGTGAGTGCATACTTATGAGCATGTGAGTGCTTACTTGCATGCATGCGAGTGCTTAAGTGTGTGTGTGTGAGCTTGAGTGTGTGCATGTGAGTGCTTTTTTGTGTGTGTGTGCGTGCTTAAGTGTTAGCGTGACAACTCCTTCCCCTCAAGACGTCATCACAGCGATCCCCGAACAAGCAACCACAATTACATCACGCAATAACGCACTCTGTCTAGAGAATCGACTACAGGCACCCACACGAACGATTACGAAATACCTTAACTTTTGTTTAAACCTTTTTCAAACAAGCATTGCATAAACAGCCTTCAATGGCTGTTTAATACACAAATAACAGGAATAGCTTTGTGTAAGTGTCTCTTGTATGCATTGAAATAAAGAAATATATTGCACTCAGAGAAACATGAGTGAAAGCTAAAACCTGGAAATTATTAGTGGAAAACATTAGTATAAGAGAAATTGTTTCACACTAATATATAAATCAAACAAGGAAAGAGAATTGCAATAAATGTTGGTGAAAACATTAACAATTAAATCATAGGACCATCGGGAAACATTTTTTTATTTAATTAAATAAAGGCAGCAATAGTGAAAGAAATTACGTATCAGCACAATAACGTTGATTCAGCATTACTAGAGCAGGTTTTGTCTACTTGGAGAGGGAACTGGAGGGGTAGAAACAGAGAGAATGGGAAAGAGGGTTTGAGGAAGGGAAGGGAAGGGAAGGGGAAGGAGGAAGAGAGGGAGACAAACGGACGGACACGTGGGCACCACCTGATACCCTCACTATATATATATATATATATATATATATATATATATATATATATATATTATATATATATATATATATCGCTTCATGCAGGTCGGTTCATGAAGGTCGGAGCTCAATTGTCGACCGTCCAAGTGGTTGGCACCATCCCCCCCCTACCCCCCGTACCATCCCAATCCTTATCCTGACCCCTTCCAAGTGCTATATAGTCGTAATGACTTTGCGTTTCCTCCTGATAGTTCTCCCCCCTTCCCCCCCCCCCCCTCGGGTCTCCACAGTCCACACCTGCGACAGGTGATTCATCGCTCTCAAGTTCCAATGCATTAATTAACATTGCCTTGACTCAACCACCATCACCATCATCACCATCATCATCACCATCACCATCACCATCATCATCACCATCACCACCCTCTCACGTCAACACAACCTATTTTCCCTTAGCAACATAGACAAGCCACTAGCAGGAACACAATCAAGTAAACCAGCAGCAACACAAGCCACCAGAGGCAACACAATCAAGCCACGAAAGCAACACAATCAAGCCACGAAAGCAACACAATCAAGCCACGAAAGCAACACAATCAAGCCACGAAAGCAACACAATCAAGCCACGAAAGCAACACAATCAAGCCACCAGAGGCAACACAAGCCACCAGAGGCAACACAATACTAGTTATAACTAACATTCTCATCCTTACGTAGGTAAACTACTCATCCCTTACATAAGTTTGTTACTTGTTTACGCATAATAATCACCTTTAAGAACATTTTTTTATATGTCTCAAATGACTGGAACAATATTACCCGTTATATACAATCGGGATTCTTAGGATAATATTCTTTGTTTTACCAAACTGTGTTTGCAAGCGATGGGTAATGGTTAATTAGTGGCACTCTGCTGTCTATCGTTCATTCAACATTAAAAATACGTTCTAATCATGAAGGATCGGCACCTGTTCTGAACCTAGTTGCTTCTGCAACATTGTGCAATCAGGAAATTTATCTCCTTTGCATCCACTAGTTTTTTGCTCCAAGATTCTTCCCTTGAATGAGATGTACTTTCCTAAATGTTACTTAGCTGTACTTACCAGCTCTGCCTACCTAAGTAAGATTTAATTCTTGGGCCCATCGTTTTAGCGAATGTACATTTTGTCTTCATACCTCCTGACCTTTTGTAATGCTGTTTGCTCTTAAAGCTGTGAATTAAGGTGGCTTCCACCACCTCTGCTTCCAGGTCGAATGTTCATTTTCTTACATCCTGCTGAATCCTTCCTTTGTATATCATCACTAAGCTGTAGCCCAATTGTACTCTCCTAATTGTGCTTCCGGGGGTTGAGCTTTGGCTCTTTGGTCCCGCCTCTCAACTGTCAATCAACTGGTGTACAGATTCCTGAGCCTATTGGGCTCTATCATATCTACATTTGAAACTGTGTATGGAGTCAGCCTCCACCACATCACTTCCTAGTGCATTCCATTTATTAACTACTCTGACACTGAAAAAATCTTTCTAACGTCTCTGTGGCTCATCTGGGTACTAAGTTTCCACCTGTGTCCCCTTGTTCTTGTCCCCCGTGGTATATATGTATGTATTTACGTATGTATGTATGTAAGTATGTCTGTATGTACGTATGTATTTATGTATATATGTATGTATGTATGTATGTATGTATGTATGTATGTATGTATGTATGTATGCATGTATGTATGCAATCCGAGTCGTACCGACCATACACAACGCCAAAAGAGGCCTGGTTCATGCACCCAAACCATCGTCCTTGACACAATACAATTCACCTGTGTGTGTGTATCATTAATTTCGCCCTAGATGCACCTGTAGCACCTGCCACACACCTGTACCGCGATACGTCATTGTTACCTGCCCTCGTTTCATTGACTTCGCCTTCCTCCAAAAAAGAAAATATATATAAATGTGTGCGGAAAAATCCGCAAAGAAAATGGAAAGGAAGATGAACGTTTCGACCGTTTCACAGCCGTTGTCAACACCAGACTGACTGGGAGAAACGTTGGTGTTGACAACGGCTGTAAAACGGCCGAAACGTTCATCTTTCTTTCTAATTTCTTTGTGGAGTTTCCGCATACAAATGATCAGTGTTTCGTGATCGTCAATTGCATATATATATGTGTATATATTATTCAGTGATCCGTCAGTCTCTTCTCTGTAGACAACCTCACAGACACTTTAGATTTAGACACTTTAGATATACACTTTAGTAAGTATAAGTATTCTAAAGCATTTTTATGTGTCAATTGTCTATATCATTTCCACCAATCAGAGTATCTATATGAGTATCTATACCAATATGAGAGCTGATATGCTCATGAATCTACATTGATTCAAAACATTCTGCCGGTGACTTACAATTGTGTTTGTAAGTCACTTGAACTTTGCAAAGTCATTTGAACTTTGCTTCAACTCATCATCGCGCCTTTGAACATCGCTTCAATCACGTTCTATGTTCGAAGTTTATCTCTCTATCTGCTTCAATCACGTACCGCAAATGCAACTTATTTCTAACCGAACAAAAACACGAAATCTAACCCACCATAAGGTTATTTATACACATAAATCACATATATATTTAAATATAGAAATAACCCAATCCCCACATATGAGCTAAAATGAGAGTGACGACGTTTCGGTCAATTAGTTCTTTAATCAAATCGAAATTGTAATAATATGTAAAAAAGAATGGTTCGCAGAATGAACCAATTTACAAATGCAACTTTGAGAATGATCGAAGCTTTAGCGAACGCATGCTGATGATGGGCTGTGTTATAAATGTAAACTGATGGTTTAGAAAAGCTTAATTCCTTGCAATTTAGATCAAACGGAATTGACAATTTATGTAATTAATAAATTATGAACACGTCATCAATTATTTAAAACGAACAATTTACCTGCTGACGTGTAAGTAGTAGTAGACATCCATCAGTCTCAGGAGACTATGGAGTTATGCTCTGGTTGTTGGTCTGGAGTGGCCTCTCCAGGGCGCAAAGCCAGGGTAGGTTGGTATGGAGGAGAAGCTGTTACCCATGCAGCAGGGGCCCCGCCTCTCCACGGCGCCGAAAGTCTCCAATGGAAAGGCAAACGCTAATACGATTGGTTCCAGCGTCGTCGCAGGAACGGTGAGTTCCGAGGTTGACCTCGAAGTTGGTGAAAGAGGACACTGGGACTCCAAACCCGGAGACCACCGTGGTCAGGGCCGGAGAAGAACCATTATTATTATAATAATAATATAATCAATTATAACACAATACTGTATAAAATTAATTTAATTAATATGTAAATAACACATTAATTAAATTAATTGTATACAGTATTTTTTTTGTTGAAAATTATTAGCATGAAATATTTCCAACCATTGTTTATACAACAGACAGACTTGTGTATGTAGTATTATACAACAGATAGACTGGTGTATGTAGTATTATACAACAGATAGACTGGTGTATGTAGTATTATACAACAGATAGACTGGTGAATGTAGTATTATACAACAGATAGACTGGAGAATGGAGTATTATACAACAGATAGACTGGTGTATGTAGTATTATACAACAGATAGACTGGTGTATGTAGTATTATAAAACAAATAGACTGGTGTATATAATATTATACAACAGATAGACTGGTGAATGGAGTATTATACAACCGAGAGATCTGTCAATCACGAAATCTCATATATTTCTCTGTCTCTCGAGCATTGCAAAACAAGTTATCGTGACTACCACACACGTCTGACGGTGCTGTTCGTCTCCACAGTGGCGCCCAGATTCGGGAGCTGCTGCAGGACTTGGAGGGCTGCCCTGCGCCCCTGGACGTTGCCAGCCGCGTCAGCACCGTCCTCTCAACTCTCCTGACGGAGATCCGGCAGCTGCAGGAACACCACCACAGCCTGGAGAAACTATACAAAAAGTAAGTCAGAATTTTCACACGGAAATTACAATAGCGTGATGCATTAAATGAATAAATCCACAAGGGGCCGTGACGAGGGATCGAACCTACGTCTGAGAGGATCCCAGACGCTGCCTTACGATCCTCTCGGACGTAAGTTCGAACCCTCATCATGGCCCTTGTGGATTTGTTCATTAAGTCAGAATTTTCACCCTCTAATCAAACTTTCTGGTTCAAGCTATTGCGGTGATCTTGATCATCCTCTAACCATTGATAGGACTAAAATAGCCTGCTGGCTTGCCAGTAAGCTATTTGTATAGACTTAAATAATGCTTCATAACTCTTCGGAAGTTGATAGACCATAAGCCAAAATCAAGGGAATGACACAACTTTGTTTTCCTTCGCTAACTGTACTGTGTTTTATCTTAGGGAGATATCCCCTAAGATATTTATAAGATAAGATATTTATCTTATCTTTATCTTAGGGAGCGAGAGCATCACGCCACCACCCTCAGGAGCCTGGAGAGCGAGATGGAGGACCAGGTGGCGAAGGTAGAGGAGAAGGCGAAGCAGCAGGCGAGGCAGGAGAGCGAGGAGGAGAAGCGACAACTACAGGACCAGATGGAACAAGAAATGGCTGAACTTCAGACCCACCTCAAGATCTTTCAGAAGGTGAGATTGAAGATTGAGAGTGATCTTTCACGAGTGAGAGAACAGAAGAGGTTGAACGTAAAACAATGGATTATAAGTACACTCTAAATAACAAATCGCTCCCACCAGGAGTGGTGTGTGAAACGTCTGACCAGGTAACCTGCCAGTTTCGGGTAATTTAACATAACTCACGAATTGCAGGTTGAATTTTTGTTAAATTAGAACCAAACTAACCTAACCCACCTTAACCTCACAATGTATTTACAATGAACCCACTTTACCCACACAAATATATGCAAAATCAACCTAGCTAAACCTCACAATATATGTAAAATAAACCCACCTTTACCTCATAAATATATGCAAAATCAACCCAGTCACTTTATGGCTGGGTTGGCCACTTTAAAGTGGCTGGCAGCCATCAAGTGGTTTAAAGTGTCTAAACCTCACAATATATGAAAAACAGAAATACAATACTCTAACAATATATACAAAACTACTCGAATTAGAAAACGGGACACATACGGGCTTTGACCACACACTAAACCAGACCTCTCTCTCTCTCTCTCTTCCCTTTCAACTTGACCCCCTTCAGGTAGACTCGTGGCTGAAGAGGGAGGACGGAGAGGGTCCGGAGAAGGTTCAGGAGGTGAGGAGGAAGCTGGAGGAGGCCTACCATGCTAATCGCACCCTTAATATGACCTTACATGAGACCACAACCAACCTAGGCCTAATGCGCTCCGACATGGCGCAGATGAGACTGCAGTATGAGGAGAAGTGCCGGGAACTACACAAGTAAGAGATAGAGAGAGAGAGAGAGAGGAGAGAGAAGAGAGAGGAGAGAGATAGAGGAGAGAGAGAGAGCGAGAGAGAACTGAAATTTGAATTAAAGATATTATTGTGAAATTGGACATAACTGCCAATTCCAAATTACTCTTATCAAGATTGCTGCATCCATCGAGGAGTTCTCTCATATATATATATATATATATATATATATATATATATATATATAATATATATATATATATATATTTGCTAATAAGTTTAAAACTATTCTAAGTTAACTTAGTTTTGATTAAGACGTTACATAACTTTATGTAACATATTTAAGAACTAACTGAACATATAACGTAATTTAGATCCAAGTTAACTAAAAATAGATTAAATATTGCTAATCCACAGTGACACTGCAAAAATCAAGGACAGATTTTGAGCACTTATAACAAGTTCAAAATTTCACATACACCATACGAGCAATACTGAACTTTTTTACGTAGTGACTAAAGTTTAATTATTTATTAGCAGGCTGTGACATCACATTTCGTTTTCTTTCTGTTTCCAGTGAACGGGAGACTGTCCTAGAGTATATGCATCAATACGACCACATGAAAAGGCAACTGGAGCTTCTACAGTAAGCATGGGTCGTCCCTTTTCTAACAAAAAAATGTATAATTGACTGATTCATACAAGGGCTTCTTATACCAAATGGACTGAATTTATGATAATAGGCTGTATGAACTATGATGGATATTTTGTATGTGTGATTAGGATTATTCATTTCCATAGCGACACTTAAAATATACCGTTTTACTGTATAACTGGGAAGGGCACTATGCAATGAGAGGCGCATATACACCTGCCAACCCGTTCTCGCAAATTTAATAAGTCAATATTGACTTATTAAATATGTGCATAGGTGACATACTTAACATAATAGATACCCTTAAAAAGATTCATAGAAAACACCGACCTTACCTAACCTTGTTAGTATCTTAAGATAAGCATCTTATTGCTTCGTAATTACAATTATTACCTAACCTATAATAGGTATAGGTTAAGTAATAATTGTAATTACGAAGCAATAAGATGCTTATCTTAAGATACTAACAAGGTTAGGTAAGGTCGGTGTTTTCTATGAATCTTCTTAAGGGTATCTATTATGTTTAGTATATCACCTATGCACGTAGTTAATAAGTCAATATTGACTTTACGAATTTGCGAGAACGGGTTGCACCTGCTTCTTGGTGTTAATACACCAAGAAGCTGTTGAAGACTTTTATATGGTGTTGTTGTTAAAGATTCGCTACCTGGAACAAAAAGTTCCAAGTAACACAGGCTACGGTGAGCCCGTAGTGCCTTGACTTTTGTATACTTGCTGCTTGGTAAGTAAGGCCCTGAACACAACACCAGTTCCAAGTGTGTATATCTATACACAGACAACAACAACAACAACAACTACACAATCTCAGATAACCAGATTGAAGGACCAAATTAAAGTGGTTAAATCCAAACGCCCCCCAAAAAAAGTTTTACAAAAGGAGAATGTATAAAAGACAAAAGATAAGATCCAGGCTGTTTAGACTATTTTTGTTTAACTTTCCTCCCGTCTCTCGTTCGTGCAGCGAAGCCAACAGGCGGCTCCAGGACACGAACGACAGTATGAGATCAGCCATGGAACACGAGTGGAGGAAGTCGCCCCTCGGCTCCAGATGCTCCAGCACCCGTTCCTCCCTACACAAGTCCAAGGAACACCGGAGGAACCACAGGTGAATTATAAGGACATGGGGGGAAGGGGGGGGTGCGAAGGTTATCTTCAGGTTATCTTGAGATGATTTCGGGGCTTTTTAGTGTCCCCGCGGCCCGGTCCTCGACCAGGCCTCCACCCCCCAGGAGTAGCCCGTGACAGCTGACTAACCACCCAGTACCTATTTTTACTGCTAGGTAACAGGGGCATAGGGTGAAAGAAACTCTGCCCATTGTTTCTCGCCGGCGCCTGGGATCGAACCCAGGACCACAGGATCACAAGTCCAGCGTGCTGTCCGCTCGGCCGACCGGCTCCCTAAGGAAAGTAGGAAGGAAACTGTAAAAAAAAACTCAGAGATTAAATACATGCAGAAAATGGAGAGGGTTAATGGAAGGTATAATGGGGACCAGACCACACACTAGAAGGTGAAGGGACGACGACGTTTCGGTCCGTCTTGGACCATTTTCAAGTCGATTGTTGATGGGGAAATGGCAGGAAAATAAGAGAGAAAGAAAGAGAGAGAGAGAGAGAGAGAGAGAGAGAGAGAGAGAGAGAGAGAGAGAGAGAGAGAGAGAGAGAGAGAGAGAGAGAGAGAGAGAGAGAGAGAGAGAGAGAGAGAGAGAGAGAGAGAGAGAGAGAGAGAGTTAAGGGAAAGAGGACGACGAAGAACGGTATGAAACAAGGACAGTAATACTATAACACCTTATCAACGGGCCCAAAGAAAGCAGGAAAAGGCATAAAGGAAAGAACGAATACAAAAAAAAGTAGAAAGGAAGAGGAATAAAAGAACAAACGCAATGAAATCGAACTAAAACGATATCTAAAGAAACGGTTCCAATAAGAGCAGAGGAACCTCAAAACCCAGAAAGAGAAGAACAACGACGCGAGGATCGTGCAAGAGCGGAGACCATGGCACAGGGATAAGAAGAAGAAGAAGAAGAAGAAGAGGCTGAGAAAGGGGTAAGAGGAGGCAGCGACATGAGTAAGAGGGAGCGAAGCATTACGGTAGAATTTACTCACCTGTCACCCAAGCAACGTGAGGAACCTTCACTACCCCTCTACTGGAGGGTCTCGAGATAAGAACAGAGAGAGATAGAGAGAGAGAGTAGGGAGTGAGAGTGAGAGAGAGAGAGAGGAGAGAGAGAGAGAGAGGGAGAGAGAGAGAGAGGAGAGAGGAGAGAGTGAGAGAGAGAGAGAGAGAGAGAGAGAGAGAGAGAGAGAGAGAGAGAGAGAGAGAGAGAGAGAGAGAGACGAAGGAAGCAAATGTTAACTCGCAGGAAGATTAAGAAAAGACGAAAGAGCTACATAAGAAATAAAGTTTTTTTTTAATGATTTTTGCCTAGATAGAGAGTGTATTATGCATACGTTGAGTCATCTATTGTATAAAAATATTCCTTTATACAAATACTGGTTCTTCTAACTTGACATAAACGTCGTCGTTGTTGTTTTGAGATTCAGCAACTGGGAACAATAAGTTCCAAGCAGCACGGGCTATGGTGAGCCCGAAGAAACGTTATTTTCATTGCCTGTTTGTAGATTGAATAATCAAATGTTTTTAGCATTATGTAATTTGAATTAAGCTTCCTGGTCCATAAGCTGACGAGCCATCCTGTCAAGGCTAATGTAATGTTGAATTAACGTTGATAAATGTTAATTCAACGTTAAATTAACGTTTCTCTTGAATATTGTGGCAACTAGTAGAGATCTACACAAGTCTCCTAACTACATTTCACATCCCCCAGGTCTTGCTCTGCCTCCACCTGTGGCTCAAGGTGAGGGGCCAGGAATTTGGTCAGTATTACTATCTACAAATCCACAAGGGCGTGATGAGGGTTCGAACCGTCATCACGGCCCTTGTGGTTCTGTTCATTTGATATATCACGCTATTGTGATGTCTGTGTGTATTGAATCCGAATGGAACATTATTACTCAGATTTGTGTAAAAAAAAAAAAAAATCGGTATTTTACTGTGAATTTCGTGACTGTTTTGAAGCGGGGGATGAATCAGGGAAGTTGTGTAATGAATCGGATTTGATTCTCACGCTTAAATGTCATATATGTGAGATATGATGTAGTTATTTCACTTTTGCAGCCCATCAAGGACTGAATAGACTCGCTTGATGTATAGGAAACCCGGCCCGAAGCGTTCAACTGTCAGTTGACTACACATAGTCTACCTTCCTCTACAGGTTGTCCTCAACCTCATGCCCGTGGCTTAATCTTCATCAATCAATCACATTGCACCCTGCAACTTACGGGCTATTCATGCCCGTGCCACCGCTTGGGTGGCTTAGTCTTCATCACTCAATCAAGCTGTTTCGTTGTCTTCGTTCACTATACATGTATCACTATTTTTTTTTTTTTAGGTTATTTATTTATAGGTTTAATTTAATTACAATGTTTTTCACTGCTTTTGACAGTATTTTCTCTTACATGAATTCATGTTCCACATCCTTAAGTTAATTTTCGTTAATAAATCCTTTTCTTTTTAAATACATTGGAGCGTAAGATAAGTCCACTACGGGTTCACTCTAGCCAGGACAACTATGCCCAACCAGTCCATTGTTGTGAAGTTTTCCATGATTTTTTTATTGTTGCCGCTGGAGGCGGCTAGTTTATTGTGCACCCCATACTCATCCTGTGAGCAGTAGCGCAAAAAGCATTACAGAAGGCACAAAAGGTGTTTATCAGACCTTTTGTAGCCTCTGTTTGCTCAGCAGTGAATGGGTATCTGATTGTTAAACGATTTGGCGGGTGTTACGCGATCTGTGTTTTAAACAATTCTTAAAATATTTAATATTTTTTTAAGCATTTTAGATCTAAAAACCTTAATAATTGTATTTCTTACAATTCAGCCCGTACTACTTGAAACGTTTGCTCCGAGGAGCTGAATCTAAAACAACAACATGTTCTCATTAGTCTTAATTGCTTTAATATACCTACAATTTTTCTCTCATCTCTTATTTTTTTTCATGCTATGTAACTGTTATCATTTTTATAAATTTTGCAAGTATTTACCTGCTTATAAGTTTCTTAGATTAAGGACCTGCCCGAAACGCTGCGCGTACTAGTGGCTTTACAAGAATGTGATTACTATGCTATGTATCCTCACAATCCCAATGTACCTTCTTGTATATATATAAATAAATAAATTAACTTTAATAAATAGGTAATTAAGTTCAAGAGATCTTAACTACTTCGTATATTGTTAGACGCGAAACAGTTTTTCAACTCCAATCCCCAATTCAAACAAAAATTCCTTAAAAATATCATGGTTGGCCCCGTCAACACACTGAAAGAGTCTAACGTTTTCTTACAGTCGTTCTCGGTCACCACTCCCGACCGTTCTCTCTTCCATCGAGTGTGACGGGGGACTCAAGTATGGCATCCGACGACTCATGGACGACCTTGGTAAGTTCTCACATGATGACAAACCGCAGTGAAAAACAAATATATACACCGACAGGTGTACCTCGCTTCTCGGTGTATATACATTGAGACTAATGTAAACTTTGTACAGTAATTGCACAGAGAAATGGGGTATGCCTCTCTGTGTGCTCCATATGATAGTGTAATATAGGGTTCATATTATATAATTTTTGTATTACGAACAATTGTATTAATGTATTAATATTATTTTGCAATAGAATCAATTTTAATATTTTTATGAATTTATTTCACTTAATCGTTTGTTTTATTGAACTTTCTTTTATATTATTTAGTACTATTATTAAAAAAAAACATTAAAGATAGCTTATAAATAAAGTTAATAAATGCTATATATTTATTGCTTAAATAACTAACTTAATTAAGGTGATAAACTTGAATTAAAATGCCAAATTGTACATACAACAGACTCAGGCAATTCAACATTGCCAGACACTGCCGAGGAGAGTTACAACACACAAGATGAGCTGAAGTTGTCTGAGAACGAGGGGCCAATGTCGGTAAGTGTCGCCAGATGACTGGCAAGTGCCAGTCGTGCTCTCAGAAAGTGTCACGTTCAAAGTAGGTGTATGTAACACGTTTATCAGAAAGTTAAGGAATCATCTTTTTATATGTTGGTTAAGTGTCAGGTCAGAAATAAGAAAGTATCAAGTGCCAAGTAGGCACATACATACATAATATATATATATATATATATATATATATTATATATATTATATATATATATGTCGTACCGAGTAGCCAGAACGCACTTCTGAGCCTACTATGCAAGGCCCGATTTGCTTAATAAGCCAAGTTTTCATGAATTAATATTTTTTCGACTACCTAACCTCTAACCTAACCTAACCTACCTTTTTCGGCTACCTAACCGAACCTAACGTTATAAAGATAGGTTAGGTTAGGTTAGGTAGGGTTGGTTAGGTTCGGTCATATATCTACGTTAATTTTAACTCCAATAAAAAAAAATTGACCTCATACATAATGAAATGGGTTTCTTTATCATATCATAAGAAAAAAATTAGAGAAAATATATTAATTCAGGAAAACTTGGCTTATTAGGCAAATCGGGCCTTGCATAGTAAGCTGAGAAGTGCGTTCTGGCTACTAGGTACGACATATATATATATATATATATATATATATATATATATATATATATATATATATATATATATATGTCGTACCTAATAGCCAGAATGCACTTCTCAGCCTACTATTCAAGGCCCGATTTGCCTAATAAGCCAAGTTTTCATGAATTAATGTTTTTTCGTCTACCTAACCTACCTAACCTAACCTAACCTAGCTTTTTTTGGCTACCTAACCTAACCTTACCTTTAAATATAGGTTAGGTTAGGTTAGGTAGGGTTGGTTAGGTTCGGTCATATATCTACGTAATTTTAATTCCAATAACAGAAAATTGACCTCATACCATAGAGAAAAGGGTTGCTTTTTCATTTCTAAGAAAAAAAGATAGTTAAATATATTAATTCAGGAAAAACTTGGCTTTAGGAATCGGGCCTTGATAGTAGGCTGAGAAGTGAGTTCTGGCTACTAGGTACGACATATTATATATATATATATATATATAGATATATATATATATATATATATATATATATATATATATATATATGTCATATATGTATATACATCCATATATACCAAGTATTCACGTAATAAAATTAATAAAACACAGGGTAAGAGGGTAACGCAATTGACAGATAAAAAAAAAGAAGTTCAGTTCACAAATATACTTAGTTCTTCATCACTTGCCTAAATGACATCATCGATTACTCCCTATTCACTAATTTAAACCGTTTTTCAATTAGCAAAGTGTGGCGATTGTGGGCGAGTAATGAGAAAATGTCAAGGATTGATTAACCAGACTCGAGCCAAAGCCATTTCAGTACGAATTGATGTTTTAATACTGTGGCAAATTTCGCTATTGAGCAAGATTTCTTTTGTCGTGTCTCTGATTAATGGCGCTGTGTGTAAATATTGCAGCCCATCATCGACACAAAGAGCCGCCGGGTTCCCAAACGTCAAAATTCTGACCTTTTTTCAGCGTGAGTTAAAGGCGAGTATCATTCGTTAATCAACTTTACAACAATTGAAGCTAAGCCTCGAGACACGTTTCAATCAGTAACATACTGTAGGGTATCAATGCTCTCAAAATCAACAGCCCGTCCGCGCGAACATTGGCGAAATGCTCGTCAATTCAGCCTCTGAATAAATGTTGTTGGCAATGTTTATGAATGAAAAACATTTTACGAAAACACGTCAACAGGCGAGGCCCGTTAAAGCGGCGGTTTTCATTCGTCATTTTAATCGGACTGTATATTAAAAATAATTTTCTCATATATAATTATATATTAGAGTTCAATATATGATTAGGTATAGGTTAGGTTAATTAATGTGGTCAGGCAACCCGTCCTCGACTCAGGTTCATTCCATCCAGCGGTCGACCCCACAGACGAATTCATAAATTTTAACATGCTGTTCATTCAAAACGCAAATTTTCTCAAATATAAATTAATATTATAATATATCAGCATATATAGGCATTGGTTAGGTTAGGTGTTTAGGTTCTGTTGGCGATTATTTGTATTTGTAGTACGTGGGTGAAGCATTTATAGCATTGTGGTTCCAACAAAATTCGTCAGTGAAGCACTTGTTCCGGAAATGTTCGAACGTCAGCAGTTGTGAGTCGTGTGTAAACAGCTTTTCATTCATAAACAGGGGGTTTGGCGGGTGGATGGAATCACTTTTGGGTCTTTGTTTGGAGGACGGGCTGGGTCAGGTTCTTCTGACAATTATGTTCATTTGAAGTACGTAGGTTTACACAGTTGGGATTCGAACGGAGATCGTCAGCAAAACCACTGTTCGAGAAGTATTCGGACCTCAGTAGCTGTGAGTTCTGACCATGTTCGAATTTCTTTAGAGCAGACCCACCCTTTCTCTCTTCCTGTGCAGCCCGTCCTCCAAACAAAGATCCAAAAGTGATTCCTTGCACCCGCTAAACCCCCTGTTTATGAATGAAAAGCGGTTTACACACGACTCACAACTGCTGACGTTCGAACATATCCGGAACAAGTGCTTCACTGACGAATTTTGTTCGAATCTCAACGCTATAAATGCTTCACCCACGTACTACAGATACAAATAATCGCCAACAGAACCTAAACACCTAACCTAACCTAACCTATGCCAATATATACACAATATGCTAATATATTATAATATTAATTTATACTTGCGAAAATTCCCGTTTTGAATGAACAGCATGTTAAAATTTATGAATGCGTCTGTGGGGTTGACCGCTGGATGTAATGGACTTGAGTCGAGGACGGGTTGTCCTGTGTTCGAATAGCACTTCTTTAAATGCTTCACCCAAGTACTGCAAATCTAAATAATTGCCAACAGAAAACAAAATATCAAACCTCCAATCAAACCTGGCCTAATATATATATATATATATATATATATATATATATATATATATATAATATATATATCGATATATATATATATAATATATATATATTTTAAAACTAACGTTAAAACTGAGGTTAATTTCATTTTGGGAAAACTTAGTATTTTATTACACCATATTAAGGATTCATCCTCTTAGTCTGGCGTCAGGTGTGTATATATGTCAAATACAGACTTATTAGGATAAATTGTATTTTTTTTTGGGGGGGGGGGAAGCCTGAGGGGTTTTAGGTTAGATTTATGGGGTTTTAATTGTTATTCACTTGCATGAAACATGAGTGCCCAATCACGGAGGTTGTCGTCGCAAAATTATGTGATCATTTACAATAAACCTCTCCCAAATCCGGCCTAACACTCCATAATCCGGCCTCACTCTCCCTGATCCGGCTCGCTCTCCCCTGATCCGGCCACACACACTCCCTGATTCGTGATATTTCATATTATCTTCGCTGTATTTAGATTTAGGTATATCAACAAGCTATGTAAATTATTATCTCCAGTGAGTATCTACTCTGTGTACAACACTACACAAAGTATCTCTATTGCGTGTATCATGGTTTTCGTGGTGTAGGAGGAGTGTATACACAAAGGATAGAGTCTAAGTCAGACAATAAACCTGTTATCTGTGAGTTCCCATGGCACAGCTGGAGTGTGTTATCTTGCTCTATGGCTTCAAACCATTAATATTCCTCCACTCAGGTTGTACCGAAAACAAATTAGCCACTTTCCAATTAGCCAATCTTGCAAAAATATCAAAATATCACTTATAATCACCCAGGATTTAGGGGAAATCTTATCCACATACTAGTAGGTTAATTACCTGTAGAGACCATCATGTTATTGCCCCTCAGGGTCCACCTCGTTCTTATCTCTTGATACGAGGACTATTAGTGGGCTGCCTACCAGGTCGGGTTCCTAGACCTCCTACTCCTCTTTGGTGTTATCTTCCCCTGCGGATGACAGTCCCTCTGGTGTCGTGTACGTAAATGACACCTGCGTGCTGTCTCACACGTACACACACACACACACACACGCACGCACACACACAATGCCTGTGAGTGCAACAGGATGCCATCCTTTATTCTATACATTGCCAATATCAAGTATTCCTCTCTCACTTGTCCACAGTTAATGAACAGTGCTCTGATTGTTTCTTATATTAAGTGACCTGTAGGCTTACATATACCAATCCCTGCCCGGGTGTGACCACACCCTCCCTTATTTGACCACATCCTTCCTGGTCTGACCACACCCTCTCTGGTCTCGTCTCACCTTCCCTGGCCTGACCACACCATCACTACTCTGCCACATCCTTCGACCTTCCCTGGCCTGACCACACCACTGCTACTCTGACCACACCCTCTCTGGTCTCGTCTCACCTTCCCTGGCCTGACCACACCACTGCTACTCTGACCACACCCTCTCTGGTCTCGTCTCACCTTCCCTGGCCTGACCACACCACTGCTACTCTGACCACACCCTCTCTGGTCTCGTCTCACCTTCCCTGGCCTGACCACACCACTGCTACTCTGACCACACCCTCTCTGGTCTCGTCTCACCTTCCCTGGCCTGACCACATCCTCTCTGGTCTCGTCTCACCTTCCCTGGCCTGACCACACCATCGCTACTCTGACCACACCATTGTCCTGCCTCGTCCTTCAGCTGGAGGAGGAGCTGCTGAGCCTTGAGTCCCGCCACTCACCGCCGGCGACGCTAAGGGAGGAAGGGACAGGAGTGAGGCCCTCCGGGGTGTCCACGCCCACCCGCAGCACGCCCACAGCCACGCCCACACCCCCGCCCATCCTGGAGATCAGCACGCCCCCACTCAAGCCCCGAAGGCTGACCCAACTTGCAGCTTACAGCGAGAGAAACGGCGGAAAGGTGAGTAATGTTATGAGGGAGGTGAATAATGTACAATGTGGGTGAGTAATAATATAATATATATAATATATATATATATATATTATATATATATATATTATATATATAATATATATATATATATATAGATATATATACGGAGAGGGCTGAATGATATACGTGAGTGGGGTGAGTAATATACAGAGGAAGATGAGCGAGTGAATGTGTAGCTTTCATTCAAAAGGATATGAGATAGACTAAAGGTGTTTCATCCTCTTGGTGCGAGGTCTGTGAACCACCGCTTGAGCCACAAGGCCTTGCTTTCTTTAATGGGATTCTCTCCTCTAGAGAGTTGAACCAAGATTTGTGTGTACCTATCCGAGAGAAAAACATGAGTTTACACGCCACAATAGAACACAATTTTTCTTGTTGATCGCATCAGCACCTAGAGATAAACGTAGTGGCGTTGCGGTCGCTCTTGATATCGAAATTGAATTGAAATTGAAATAAGTTTATTGAGGTAAAATACACACAAAGAGATAAGGTAGCTCAAGCTAAAATTATTTGGCTATTTTTTTTTTTTTTGTCCCCTAACTCCCCTTGCCACTTCGGGGGGGTATAGGGTTTTTATGTAGCTTCGGAGCCCGATCCCCCCAGCCACAGGGCATGGCGAGACGGACCCTTAAGCATACCTAATACCCTAACACACAAACTAAAAGAGAGTCATAGTTACTCCTGCCGTTTACCCGCGCTTCTTTGAATTTCTTCACTTTGACATTCATAGCACTGGGCAGAAATCACATTGCGTCAACATCTTGATATCTGACCTGGCTCTTGTTTACAGCGAGCAGAGCGTCATTGTAAGACCAGTAAGCAGTATGATAATATTAAGATTACGTTCTACGGCTTTGGTGCGATGAGCTGGCTAGCTACCGTGGCTATCTTTGACGATAGCCTCGTTGACGTGTGGTGTTTGGTCGTAGTTGCTGTGATTTATGGGCCAAAAGATGATACTCTAGCACCAAACATTTTCTCTTCTAGATCTTCCCTTCTGCCATCATTTCATTTTTATTGTTTTTTTTTTATCTCTCGTCGCTCCACACTTTATTTTATTACTTTTCAAGTCTTACATTGAGCTGACACCCCCATTCCCCCCCCCCCCCTTGGATGGGGTGTCAATAGAAGCTGGTTCCGTTGCTAGGTGGGACAGCCTGCGACCTTTCTTATAGTTTATTGTTTATCTCTTTCTCTCTCTCTCTCTCTCTCTCCGTCTCTCTCTCTCTCTCTCTCTCCTCTCTCTCTCTCTCTCCATCTCTATCCTCTCTCATCTCTCCTCTCCTCCGCTCTCTCTCTCTCACTCTGTTCACTTATTAATTACATTTCACATTATCAACATGTTTTCATTCAAAATCTCTTCAAATGTTGCATTCTCCTTTATTAATTTTCTTTTCCATTCGTCCTCCTCTCTTCCCTGATTCCTTCCTTGGCAATTTCACTCTCTCCTAACTCTTACTTTTACCTTCATCTCGATTTTTTCCTCTCCACTCTTTCTAATTCCTCTACTTTTTTCTCTCTCTCCTTTTCTCGCTATTTTCATTTCCTCCTTCATAATTCTTTATTGTCACTCATTTACCTGGTTCCTTTTTTATCTTCTTTTTATATCCCTCTCTCTTTTCATCTCCTGTAGTCCTCCTTTTTCCTGTCTTTTTCGTGTTTTCCTTATTCCTTTTCTTTTGTTTATCTCTCTTTTTGTGTTTGTTTTTAATTTTCCCTCTCTTTATTTCCTTTATTTAGTTCCTTCCATAACATCTCAAACTCACTCTCTCTCTCTCTCTCTCTCTCTCTCTCTCTCTCTCTCTCTCTCTCTCTCTCTCTCTCTCTCTCTCTCTCTCTTCCCACATCTCTCTCTTAATCCACGTACATTAAATTTCCCCCTCTCATTTTCCCAATTGCTTCTCCCTTCACCTCTTCCGCGGCCTGTTCGCCTCCATTACTCTTCCACTTCCCCTCTCCCTCTCCTTCAGCACCAATTTCGCCACCTCTCATCTCTCTCATATTCTCCTGATCCTTATTCTCTGCCCCGTTCAACACCCGGCAGGACCTAAGCTTAAACATAAAGTTAAACCTTTCCTCTTGAGCGTTATATGTTCTTATATCATTCTTCTCTACTGTTGTGCTTCTGTTTCTTTCGTTTTTCTCTCTCTCTCTCTCTCTCTCTCTCTCTCTCTCTCTCTCTCTCTCTCTCTCTCTCTCTCTCTCTCTCTCTCTCTCTCCTTCCATCAGTCTCACAAAGCACTTTCATTTCCCCAGCCCTCAACACCAAGCCCACAATGGAACCCTGTCCGGTATCTTTGAACCTCTGGGTCCCCCGGAGAGAACCTACAAAGTGGTGTTTGCAGGCGACGCTGCTGTGGGCAAGTCTACCTTTATCGTCCGGCTCTGCAAGGGCTGCTTCGTTACCAATATTGCCTCCACGCTCGGTAAGTCCGATTCATCGTAAAGCAGTATAACGTGAGCGAGGTGGGTTGGACGTTATTCCTTTCCCCTCTTCCGTCCAATCCCAAATCCTTATCCTGACCCCTTCCACGGGCTATACTGTCGTAATGGCTTGGCGCTTTCCTCTCCTGATAATTCCCTTCCCTTCGTATCCTAGTGACGACACTTCGCTTCTGAAGCCTTTGGCAGAGGCTTCAGAAGAATGAGTAATGGAAGGAAGGAAAGATGAGTAATGTCCGGTGAAGGTGAGTAATGACTTATCCACCCATTCATCATACTATACACGACAATCAACATATTGATAATAATAATCAGAATATCCACTGGAGCTTTGAGGTGACTCAAACTCTAGTGGATTTTTTCATTTCTATTCATCACGTTAGTGAGATTTCTCTGAATAATAATAATAATAATAACTAACAGTTATTAGTTATTCATTAGAGTATTAATGATAAAATGAATAAATAAAATATGAGCAATAAAGGTTACTATGCTTTTTAATTATCTTCATAAAAAATACAGAAATATTAAAATATATGATCAAAAGCAGCCAGACGACATATATGGCTTTTTTTAGGTTTCTTTCAACTGTGTTCTTGTTAAAGTTATATTTTGTTCTTGCTTTGGATATATAGTTATTTACAGGTGTATATATAACGTGTTCTTGCTATAGTTATAATGTTCTCTTGTTCATTTATAACATGCTTTTTTTATTGTGCTCTCTTTATATCGTTTCTTGTTTTATTATTTCTTTTATATATCGTTCTCTGCCTTAGGGGTCGACTATAAAGTGAAAACTCTTAATGTTGACGAGAAGAATATCGCCATACAGCTCTGGGACACTGCTGGTGAGTGTGTCATGTTCTGTGGCACTGCTGGTGAGTGTGTGTCATGTTCTGTGTCACTGCTGGTGAGTGTGTCAAGCTCTGTGTCACTGCTGGTGAGTGTGTACAAGTGTATTCAATTCCTTCCTTACAATCACAATTAATATCAACAGTGTAGAGGTAATACTCCTGATCAACTACGCACCAATCAACTTCCAGTTTCAGGAATTAATCCTCACTCTCACCAGTCCGGTTGTGAGTGTGAGTCGTGGAATGGGAAAAGCATTCCAGATGGCGACCAAACGCGGACTTCAACGAACTGTGTATAATGGGAGAGCTGATTAAATAATGAGTTAATGAAAGGCGTTCGCTAAACCTCTGGTATACATTAATTTCTTTGGAGTTAACTAAAGAGTGCTCGAACTTATTTTTCTCGTTAAAAAGAGTATCACATCGGTAGGAATTATTTTATGAGCGAGAGTGTGTGTGTGATTATTTGACATGTTAGTTATATATATATATATATTATATATATATATATTATATATATATATATTGCTGTAATTTCCCAAGGCGCAAGAGTTTCCTAAGATAAGGGTGGTGGGTGGAAATTGATGGGCTTTTCACGTTTATGTTCCCGATTGACACCCATTATCAGCCAGAACTCTTGAAATGGTCTCATCACTATTGCGATCGGAGAGTCGACTGGACTAATGGGGTTGAAAGCAAGTTGATCCAAGGCTGTCACTTTATAATTGGTTTACATTACAGAAAAATGGAGAGAGAGAGAGAGAGAGAGAGATGGAGAGGGGAGAGAGAGAGAGAGAGGAGAGAGAGAGAGAGAGAGAGAGAGAGAGAGAGAGAGAGAGAGAGAAAGTGAGAAGGTATGAAAGAGAAACATAGAAGGGCAGACAGATCAACATATATATATATATATATATATATATATATATATATATATATATATATATATATATATATATATATATATATATATATATAATGTATATATATATATGTGTGTGTGTGTGTGTGTATTCACCTAGTTAAGCTTGCGGGGTTTGAGCTCTGCTCTTTCGGCCCGCCTCTCAACTGTCAATCAATCAACTATTACTAACTATTTTTTCCCCCTCTCTCTCACACACACACACACACACACACACACACACACACACACACACACACACACACACACACACACACACACACACACACACACACACAGCTGTCTGTCTCCCAGGTACCTATTTACTGCTAAGTAACAGGACCATCAGGGTGAAAGAAACTCTGCCCATCTGTTTCCACGGGCGCCGGGAATGCACCCGGACCCTAGGATTACGAGTCCTAAGTGCTGTCTACTCAGCCACAGGCCCCATGTGTATGCGTGTATGTGTGTGAGACTCTAAGAGCAAGTGGCTAAAAAACAAGAACCGGTTATCAAAGAACATGAACCGGTTATCAAAGAACATGAACCGGTTATCAAAGAACATGAACAGGTGATCAAAGAACATGAACAGGTGATCAAAGAACATGAACAGGTGATCAATGAACATGAACAGGTGATCAGACGCTTGAACACAGAGTTCATGAACATTACATCACATTCATATCGAATCTGCTATCTTTGTGAACAGTGGGATGACCGCTTCAAAGCCTTTAATGCCGTATTAGGGAAATTAATTCATCCTGTCACCTGTTGATGGAGTTTTTATAATAATAAATATATCAAACTTCGACAATTTGAAGCAAATTGTGGAATTATTTTGAAAAAAAGTTTGCGTAATTTTTATTTTAATTTTCTGCGTAAAAATACCTGAGGCAATACTACATCCTGGGTTCCCTCCCTCGTTACTTCTGGAGCTAACGAACCTTTCGTCTCCGTTACGAGACAATACATTACTAATGTCTTGACCAAAGTCCCCATGAAACACAATACTTACGACCCCTTTAAATTTGCCCCATTTACTTATTTCTGGAGTGGTGCTCATGGGTTCTATTACATCTGTCAAGAAAGAGTTTCAGATCAGGATTAGCATTTACGAACACGTTTTTGTACATGTAGATAGCACAAGAGAATGTGTGGAGTGAGAGTGAATGTTTAGCGTGTTTAGGGATTTAAACAGTGGGAGCTGTCTATGTATTAGCCAAGGAAATTTCCATCATTTTTAATTGCTATTGTTAACATTATCTATCTGAAGTTGAATTTCGTTGGATGAAATAAAGAAATCTATCGCTTTTGCGTTCATGCAGCCTTTGTAATATAACGTATATTATATATATTTCACTCTGACTTAAGGTTTTTTTCTCATGGCTCGGTTGTTTCAGGCCAGGAGCGGTTTCGGTCCATCACGAGGACCTACTTCAGACGAGCTGACGGAGTCCTGTTGCTTTACGACGTGACCAGCGAGCGTTCCTTCCTCAACGTCAGGCAGTGGATCCAGAGTATTGATGTGAGTGACTTTAAGGTCGTTGGTGTGGGTGGGTGTGGGTGTGTATGGGAGGGTGTGGGTGTGGGTGTGTGTGTGGGTGTGACTGCCTGGATGTTAACTGGGCGTGTGCCTGTGGGTGGGCGTCGGAGATGATGTCCGGCTGACGTGTGGGCGTGAGTGTGGGCGGGGGAGGTGGGGATTGTCTGAATGACGTGTAGCAGCGTATGAGTGGGGTGTGTGGGTGTCGGGGTAGCTAGAGGAGGCGTGGGGGACTATTGATGTCCGCCTCGGGAACAAAACTATTGATGTAGGTGTCTCTTGAGAGTGTGGGCGTATGGAGTCTGTGATGCTGGTGATGTGGGCGTGAGGGAGACAATGATAAATGTGTGGGAGTGTGGCGGAGCTTGAGGAGTGTAGGTGTGTGTGTGTGTGTGTGTGTGTGTGTGTGTGTGTGTGTGTGTGTGTGTGTGTGTGTGTGTGTGTGTGTGTGTGTGTGTGTATTCACATATTTGTTCCTGCAGGACTGAGCTCTAGATCTTGGACCCCGCTCTTCTAGCCGCAATGACTCCTGACCTGTATCTATGTGTGAGAGAGACAGAGAGAGTTCTGTGGGTATTCACCTAATTGTACCTGAAGGATCAAAATTTACCTCTTGGACCCCCGCCTTTCTAGACGCTTGTTGCCTAATGCAATGACTTTTGACTAATTAACTCTCATATCTACTGCTGAAATTATGAATGGGACCTGCTCATTCTTAATGAGCAGGTTCATTACGGAGAGAAACCTGCTTCCACAACCTGCTACTTTGGTTCATTACATTTTTCCACTACTCTTACACTAAAAGGAAACTCTCTGGCATTACGACTCATCTGCTTATCAAGCTTCTATCAAAGCCTTATTGTTCCATTGTAAATATCTCTATTTTTCCGCTCTCTAATTCTTCCAAAGAATTTTATACTTTTCGATAATTTCACCTCTCACACACACACACACACACACACACACACACACACACACACACACACACACACACACACACACGCACACACACACATATCCCCAGAATGCAGCTTGCAGTAGCTAACTCCCAGATTTTTACATTTTACTGGGTGAAAACAGGTATTAGATGAAGGAAGTTTTGTCCCATTTATTTCTGTGTATATGTTTCTTGGCATATGTGGGCGTTTAGGAGCATGATATTGCAAGCATCGGCTTACTGTGTATGATGCTCCTCTCAACTAGGGCGGCCAAGTCGAATCCCCAAACAAGAATGATCCAGCCTAACCCCTCGGTCTCCCCCTAACGCATCCCTTTCCCTATAACCCTTTATTTTCTCCATAACCATTCACTTTCACGCAAGCCCCTTAATTTTCCCCTCTCAATTCCTATAACAATTCTATTTCCATACGATAATTAACCTCCCTCTACTTACCCCTGCAGGAAGCGTGTGACTCAAGAGTGCCTTTAGTGCTATGCGGTAACAAGGCTGACCTCCGGGCCAGTGCCTCTACGGAAGGACGAACCACCATCAGTACCGCTGACGGAGAACGCCTCGCTAGAGACTGCGGCGCCGCCTTCGTCGAAACCTCGAGCAAGACTGGCGCTGGGGTCATGGAAGCCCTTGTGCAACTGGCTAGGTGGGTTCATGTTCGGTCGTTTGCGGCTTGGGGAATTTGTAGGTATCAAAGAAAAGATCCCTTAAACTTGTTCTAGTTTTGATCTCAGTGAGTTTGTTGTAGTTTGTCTCGCTTGGTCCTAATTTTTTTATTAATGTATCTTAGTTAGCCTTAAACTTGTTCAGGTTTTCCTCATTGGTCCTTAAACCTGTTTTAATTTACTTCGGTAGCCTTTAAACCTGTTCCAGTTAACATCAGTTTCCCCCTAAATTACTTCCAGTTAGCATCAGTACTCATTAAATTAGTTCCAGTTAACATCGGTACCACCCCTACATTAGTTCCAGTTAACTTCAGAACGCCCTACATTATTTCCAGTTAACTTCAGAACTCCCTACATTAGTTCCAGTTAACTTCAGAACTCTCTACATTAGTTCCAGTTAACTTCAGAACTCCCTACATTAGTTCCAGTTAACTTCAGAACTCCTTACATTAGTTCCAGTTAACTTCAGAACTCCTTACATTAGTTCCAGTTAACTTCAGAACTCTCTACATTAGTTCCAGTTAACTTCAGAACTCCATACATTAGTTCCAGTTAACTTCAGAACTCCCTACATTAGTTCCAGTTAACTTCAGTACCCATACATTAGTTCCAGTTAACTTTAGAACTCCCTACATTAGTTCCAGTTAACTTCAGAACTCCCTACATTAGTTCCAGTTAACTTCAGAACTCCCTACATTAGTTCCAGTTAACTTCAGAACTCTCTACATTAGTTCCAGTTAACTTCAGAACTCTCTACATTAGTTCCAGTTAACTTCAGAACTCTCTACATTAGTTCAAGTTAACTTCAGAACTCCCTACATTAGTTCCAGTTAACTTCAGAACTCCCTACATTAGTTCCAGTTAACTTCAGTACCCATACATTAGTTCCAGTTAACTTCAGAACTCTCTACATTAGTTCCAGTTAACTTCAGAACTCCCTACATTAGTTCCAGTTAACTTCAGAACTCCCTACATTAGTTCCAATTTCTGTCATAAACCCACATCTGGTGTAGTATACCCTGCCAGGACTCCCACAGATGTTCTGGTTTTCTTTCTCAGCATCTTCACAAATGTTTCTCTCCCGCAGACATATGGTGACCACAGAAGACGTCGAGGTCCAGTCCTCAGCGCTCAGGGTCTGCGCGGCCAAGGAGAAGGAGAAGAAATCGTGTTGTGGAAGCAAGAAGTGAAGGGGGAAGCCGCTGTGAGAGGTGAAGTGAAGGGGAGGTGACAAGAAAGGGAAGAAGGGAGGGGGAAAAGGTTAAGGGAAATGATAAAATAATTCGCTATCCATTATTAACTGCGTCTATTCACCCAGTAGTGATTTAGAACCTGGTTGTAAACTGACTGACAGGTCGTGTTCCAGGGTAAACTAGTTTTTTATTATTGTTATTTTCTACCACAGTCGTGGCCACACATTTGCAATGCTAACCAGCATATATATATTTTCTTCTGTCCTCCATGGACAGGGTTACAGATCTGTGAAACATAGAGTTCAGTGATTTATTGAACAATCAACCACAGAAAGTGATTGTAGTGCTTATAAAATGCTAATCTAACTTACATATATAAATACATAAATACACACATTTATGTCAGCTCTACATAAACAGTGTTCGAGGTGTCTTTTTACATAGAGTCATTAACGTGCGTTTACAAAGGTGAAATGCAATTCTGACCAGTTTCCACACATATCCTGTAGGATATGTGTGGAAACTATGTAAAGTATGATATGTAAAGAGATATATAAAGAGTAAGATATGTAAATATATATATATATATATATATATATATTAAGCACTTTGTGTGTTATTAAGCACTTAACCACTAAAGGTGATTAAGATACTTTTACAAGTTCAGGTTATAGTTACATCACAAATATATGATGAACTGTAAGACTTAAGATGAGCTAACAAAGCGATTATTATAAGCCTGTCCACAATGGTCAGAAGTCATCTACTCCTGTGCTTACCAAAGTAAAAAAAAATAGGGAGAAAGGGAACAATATTCAGAGATGGGGAAGAGAGAAAAATTTGTTGATAAGTAAAATATTGAAAGAGAAATATGAGGAATGAGAAAGAGCGGAAAATAGACAGAAAAAAGTGAAAACAATAAAACTTAATAAAAGGGATATAGAAAAAAAATAAAAAAGAAAAGAAGAAAAGAATTGTAGTAGACGTAACTTATTTGTAGAAACGCATAAAGAGCGATAAGATAAGTAGAGACTGGAGATAACAAAGACAGAAATAGATGACTGCATTCAGTGCCATTTATAATCATCGTCAAAAGTTTTAATTAATCACAAATTCAACAAAATTCATCAGGAAATAACTATTATCATAAAACTTCTCATCTGTGAATTTAGTAATAATATTAATTTTTAAATGGAGGTTGAATTATTAATATTGTATAACTCGAAAACTGTGAGCTTTATACATGTGAGTCGCATATATCAGTTGCATATTGGCTTGGGGATCATTCAAGCTTGTTCGCATTGGTATTGCTCACGTGGCCCCACAAAGTGAGGTGATTCGATGAAATAACTATGGCCAAGATTACCACCAAGTGCCGTCAGGACGGTGGGGGAATAGCCTCGGCTACCATCGTCTTCTGTACGGTCACGGTTGGTCAAGTGGTTAAGGTACCATGTACGCCAGTTGCATAGTGTTCCTGGCTGTCTGGGTTCGAGTCACTTCTGGGGTGTGGAGTTTTCAGTCGCATATGTATATATGAGAATGAGATATATATATAAATATATATATTTATATAATATATATATATATATATATTATATATATATATATATATATATATATATATATATAATACATATATAATTCTGGTCAGAATTGCATTTCATTTTGTAAACGCCACATTAATGTATATATATATATATATATATATATATATATATATATATATATATATATATCTATATATATATATATATATATATATATATATATATATTAGATTACATATATGAAATTATATGCTTGCTAGATTAAGTTAAGAAATTGTTAATGTGTAATATATCAAGGCTCTATTCTCATACAATAAAAAAACGTATTTGGAAAAAAAATTCAAAATTGTATTCACATTTTCAGTATTATTTTTTATTGATTATTTAGCTTTATAATAAATCTGAAAATTTTGTTGCTTTATTTGTTAAAAGTGAACAATATATTATTCAATATGTTTATTGTTTATTATTTTGAACTTCATGAATGATGACTAAGTGCATTTTGAGTTCTGTAGTTTGTTAAAATAAATGCTTAAAACTGGCTAATATTTATTATCTGGTGTTCACAAAAATATTTTGTGAAGACCAGAACACAAAAATATTTTGTTAAAAATATCTTAACTATAATGATTAAAAGATAATCATTATACTTATCCTGCTCCATACATGTGCTTCTGACACCTGGTCGTGGTCCATATATGTGCTTTCTACACCTGGTCGTGGTCCATATATATGCTGTTTACACCTGTTCCTGATCCATACCTTCTACCTGTTCCATATATGTACTTCTTCCCCTGTAGTCTTCTCCCTGTATCTCCCCAATGAGAGTACAACGTAATCATCGGCTGTATAATATATATTATACAATATCAGCCGAAAAATAATTGAGATAAACAAAATATTTTCTTATCAAGATGAAACGTTGACTTTGGAATGGATAAATGTCTGCTCGTCCAGACGAAATAATTACTGGACGAAACGTTTGCTCGCTGTGTGATAAGATTGCTCGGAATTTAAACGTTTTCCCATGATAAAGGAAACGTTTGCTTAAAACGCTAAGCTATATATTAATCTTGCGAGATACGCCTAACTTAGAGAAGCCTTAGGTAGCATATATATAAATATATGTGTATGTATATATATATATATCTATATATATCTATATATATATATATATATATATATATATATATATATATATATATACACGTCGTGCTTCAGAGCGTTTATACCTGCAGTTTAAAATGGGAAAAGGTTATGTGTCTAATTTGTCTGATAACTGCCATGCATAACTTAGCAGTTTGTTGAAAGAAATTATTAATAATTTTATGGATTCTGTATAGAAGAGAATTCAGATTTCAGAGTTTGGGTTTGAAAAAATGAAATGATTCATTTTTTGAGGTTCTGATGTGTTTCCTGAATTCATAATGTAAATTTGAAAACTTTGCCACTAATATTATTCTTAGGAATTCCTTATATTCACACACACACACACACACACACACACACACACACACACACACACACACACACACACACACACACACACACACACACACACACACACTTTCAGTTCTCTAAAATTTACAATAACATAAATAATAATAAAAAAATCGTAAAATAAGGGATTCTACTTTTTTACAAATTGGCCAAAAAAATTTTGGAATTTAAAAAACACGTGAAATATCAAATAAAACTTTTACTGTCTTTACTCAAGCATCTGCTGTTTGACATATAAATCTGTGTAGCCAGAAGCATTTTACAAGACTGCTATAAGCGATACAATCATACTTTATTTTCATGGAATTTTCAGATGAAAAATTACAGCGCTGAAACATATTTAATTGGTACAAATTAGTTTAATTGGTGATATACTGATACGATTAATTAACGACATGTTTTAAGCAGATAAAAAGTTGTAATGTTACTCTCAAACATTCTACATTTTACACACGCAAACATTCTACATTTTTTACACACAAACATTCGACATTTTACACACAAACATTCCACATTTTACACACACAAACATTCCACATTTTACACACAAAACACACTTCATAAACTATACTACAACACTTCCTTTATGTTATATACACGAGATGAACCACAAACGCTGGGGCTATGAGACGGACTACTAACTGCTATTAGATAGACTACTAATGCTATGGGTAAAGGCAGGACTACTAAGGCAAGTACTATGAACTTGACTCTTGATGACAAACAACGAGTTAGAGCCGGACTTACATGATTGATCAATGATTACTCACAATCCGTCCTCTCGATTAATACATCGTATTTTGACGTCCAAATCTCTCAAACGACAAATAAAGAGGCTCAATAAATCTTAGTGGCTCGCAAACATTCCCATTTTCATTGGTTAGTAAGTTAGATTAGGTTCGAACGTTTTAGGACACCGTTTTCTGTACGTTGTGGCAATTCGAGAGGGTAAGCTGGATAATACTCTACGAATTGGGCCACGAATTACATAATTGATCACCAATGAGAGAGTACGAACTGGACAGCTAGTTTAATTATAGCGTTACTTAAATTATAACCAATTGTATTCAATTATAACAATACTCCTATTATATTCTATTTATTATATATTATAATTATATTATTCAATTGTATGAAATTATAACAATGACATAGCTTGTTTAATTAGTATTCAATAGATCACTATATATATATATATACTATATATATATATATATATATATATATATAGATATATATATATATATATATATATATCCAAGTCCTCACACTTCCCAACTAACAACTGCATTAGACAGTGAGAGTATTTGAGAGCGAAATCCCTGCATCTCCACCCACAAACCCGAGTTTCAGGCCCTCTCAGTCAGCTGCCGGGTGAGGTCCTCTGTCATATGTTTATGCTTTCATCATATGACGGAAAAGGACCGTTCCACAGCCTCTAGTCAGCCCGACTTCACAAGAAGGAGACGCCTGTGCTGCCTCAACAACCACGACCTGACGGCTGGAGAGGACTCTTGAATAAGAGAGCTGGGATGTGTGAAACCACGCAGGGGGGAATTTGAGTTGGTGAGAAATTATTTAGAGTAGGAACGAGACAGAAAGAGATAACGAGAGAGAGAGAGAGAGAGAGAGAGAGAGAGAGAGAGAGAGAGAGAGAGAGAGAGAGAGAGAGAGAGAAGGCCAGGGCTAATAACAAGGAGTTCAGCAAGAGAACTCTGGTTATAAACAACAACTGGAGGGTGTTGGTCGACTTCTTTAAGTCGAAATGCTACGTCTTAATTTAATAATTCCTTGGGCTTGGAAAATTGTCGTAGGGGGGGGGGGGGAAGGCGGAAGATAGAGTGGCATCATCTCAGCGGGATAAATTAGCAGCATCCCAGCAGAATAAAGTAGTTATCAGGGGAAAGTGCTAAGTCAGTATGGCTGTATAACACATGAAAAGGATATGAGGACAGGAAGCTGGGATAGAAGG